TAAAAAAAAAAAAAAAAAGAACACCATTTCTTGCCTCAAAATTGACATTAGGACATGCCATTTAAATGCTCTGCAAAACATTCAGATCAGACTGATAATCCATTATTTTCAGAATTCGTGCAAAAATTTTAGTTTCTTGGGGGTGTAGATGTATAGAGCACAGAACAAAATATTAAAAGCAACGTCAAAACCTAAATACAGGTTTACCTTATTGTACAAATTATAAGCTCTGAAAAGTAGTCAAATACATTATTTGAAACACAAGTTTTTATTTTGGTAGGGAAGCGAAGCTATTTAAATCTTAAGTAGTTCATGGAAAAGGAAATGTAAATGTCAATAAAAGCATGAAAAGATTGTGGCTCATAATAGAAATGCAAATCTAATAACAAAGTACTTATTTGCACTTTCAGAATGTTATCTTTAAAAGCATAGAAGAAAATGAGCTACAACAGATAATTCAGCAATGTTAAAAGGAATATAAATTAGTATAATCCTTTTGGTGAATAATGTGGCAATACTGATTATAATAATGCTCATATCCTTTGGGTCAATTTCAGTCCTATATAGTTATCTTACAGATATCCTAAACACAACTAAACAAGGAGATGTGTACAAGGATGTTCCTAATAGCACTGCTTGAATCAGAAAAAAATAGGATTTTAGGGTGTACTGGTTAAATTAATTATGGCACACACAATTGCTGAGAAAATAGTTACTGTCTGTGACATATTTAAAATGACAGACATTTTAAAAAGCAAGTTGCACTGGAGACACTCAGGTAATTTAGAAAGAACAGCTTTTATTTTTGGATATTCAAAAAAATGGATGGATATAAACATACCTGTTAACAATGGTTAACTTTGTAAAATGGGCTAAGTAGGAGTTGGGGTATGGTAGATGCAGGTTTTTTTAAGTTTTTATATTGCCATATTGCGATTTTATTTGAAAATATGATTTTATAAAATACTAATTAAAAATATGCCATCATGATTTACAGATTATATAATATAGTTCATTTTCTCTAACATCTTATTTAAAAGTATTTGAGAGTTTTAGAAGCGTAAATTCCTCTAGTTCAGAAAGTAGGTTCAATTGGTTATTTACAACAAGCTCTCTAACCAAGGCTTTAAAAGTAACTTACCCAGTTCCATCTTCAAAAGAGGTCTTCCATCTTAATGTGATTGAATAGGGAACAAGGTCTGTTATAGAAAATTCACGCACTTTAAATGCTGGTGAGAGAATCGCACACTGAAAATAAGATGTATACCATATTTAAATCAACAAACACAAAACATACTATAGGTTACCCTGACTGAACTGCTTAATAAAGCCCTTGCAATAAAATTGTTACATCCTAAAAATTACTGTTTTTGGTAACAGCTAAAGTGTCAAGAGTATTTTTATGACCTTACAAAAATATATTTTTAAATCTGAAAAAAGAATTTTAAATGGGAATAATTACAAGAATTCATAAAAGTAAATGTTCTTTCACTACAGTACACACATATTGTCCCATGACAGTTTAAAAACAAATTGGAAAGACACAAGACTTATCTTTCAGGAATAATTTTAATTTATTTTAGCCTATTGACAAGTGTTTTGAACAGATAATATTAAAAGGTCCCTTTAGGCCTATCACCATTTTTCTGGCAAAATATACTCTGTAAAAAAAAAAAAAAAAAAAAAAGGAAAAATACCTGTAATGCACATCCTCTTGCAACAGCTTCATCAGCATTTAATGTGGTACTTATGTCTTTAAGAAAAAATTTAGTGATTTGTTCTTTCACTGCAGGAATTCGAGTTGCTCCCCCTACAATTTCTATACTACTTATGTCTTCACGTTGCAAGTCTGTAAAACAAAATTTTTTTTTTTTAAGATTTATTTGCGAGAGAGAGAATGAGAGACAGAGAACATGAGAGGGAGGAGGGTCAGAGGGAGAAGCAGACTCCCCGCTGAGCAGGGAGCCCGATGTGGGACTCGATCCCAGGACTCCAGGATCATGACCTGAGCCGAAGGCAGTCGCTTAACCAACTGAGCCACCCAGGCGCCCCCAAAATATTTTTAATTGAGAAAAATAAGATAGTCTTTATAAAAATGTGAACAAAAGACCTTGGAAAGTACTTTTTTTAAAAAATGGATTTTGTTTTTGCTCAAAGCAAGACTAAATAGAAAGAAGATAAAAACAAATTTTGGAGAAACGCAAAACTTAATAAATATTAACTATCTATGTGTCAGGCACTGCACTTGGACCAGATGACAGAGTGACAATAAGAACAGACAAGTACCTCACGGGCTCTTCAGAGTCCTTCAATTTTCTAACTTTCACCTCACAAATACCCATAGAAAGTAATGATTACCAAAAATCTTAACAAAAAGCAATCATGTCCCATTTCTACTTTATTTTCATCTTAGACTTTACAGTATACTTACATATAAACACCTCCAAATATAACTAGTGTTAGTTTTACAATGTAAACAATAACACGAGCCAGGAGTTGTTCTCATAAACCCAGATTCATAGTGCCCTTACTCTTATGAATGAAATTATAATCTCCCTCTCTAAAATGAGAAATACAAATCTTCAAAAAACAAATAGAAGTTTTTATTGCTTTTACCATTTCCTACCCCATTCAAGTGAGTTAACGCCATGATACAATTTTGATGGTTAGTCTAGTAATTTACACTTACTAGCTTGTTCCATTACTGCTTTTAATGGTGGCTCAACCCTGGTGAAGAGGGAAGCACATAATTGTTCAAATTGGGCCCTGTGGGAAAATGAAATAAAATTCATCATTTTGGGATATAAAACTCAAGTATATCTTCTAAACAGAATGAAAAAAATCAGACATGATCTAAACATAAAATAAGCCAACACTTCTTAAACTGAAAACATACACCGTACCTGTTCATTTTACTAGAAACATCAAGGTCATTCATGAAACACTCAATGTTCAGTGGAAGATCTGATGCATTTGCACTCATTAGCTTCTTCAGTTTTTCACATTCCTGATATAAACGCAACAAGGCCCGAGAATTTTCTTTCACATTTATCTTGTATTTGGTCTTGAACTCCTCACAGAAGTAGTCTACTAAAGCCTCATCAAAGTTCCTGCCACCCAAATATGGATCAAAGGTGGTAGCCAAGACCTGTTTAACCAAAAAACCAGAACTGAATTTTCAGAAATATAAATGCTTTCAAAAAGACAAAAACCAAAAAAAAAAAAAAAAACCTTTTAAAATTAAAGTCAAAGCCAAAGAACTTGTGAAAAATCACAGGGGTGTCAAAGCTTGCTATTGCTGATATCAATTATCACTTATATTTAGCCAACATACTTACCCATTCTGAATTATCTGTTTTGGGATGCAGATCCATATATAATTAAAATTAATTCTATTTCTGAAATAACTGAGTTACAACAATTAAAACTTCACTATCTCATATCCATTGGTTCTACAATAGCACTGAAGAGGGAGGCCAAAAACCAAGTTCAGGGAGTAAGTCCTAAGTATGTAAACAAAACAAAACAACCAAGAAAAGCCAATTCGAAGATTAAATTTAAAATACTGCAATTGGTCAATTTACAGGTCCAAAATTAGGCCTTCTGACTACTATTAAAAAAAAAAAAAGTGAAGAGGAAAGACAAGAATATAATAAACTTGTTGAGCAATGAGCCCCAGCCAGTGGATGGACGGAAGAGGAGTAGACAAGTCATAGAACTTCAACACTAAATCTCTTGAAAATGCAGGAGCAAGATATCTAGTCTCTCTCCAAGGAGAGCACAAATTACTACTTACACTAGTCACTTAAAAAATAGAACCCCACCGTTGGTGTGGCTCATCAGGTTTTTTTCACAAGGATATGTGATGGAACAATAGTAAGCCCTATAGAAAGCTGTGAACTAATGTGATGGGATGTCATCCCAAGACTCGCATGGAGAATTCATGGATCGACTTCTTGCTAGGACCAGTACTACCCAAAATTAAATGCAAAATTGTGTTGGTATGTGACTAGTGCAAACATGCATCCTTTTGGACAGAAGGGCCATAGATATGGTTACTCTAAGGTATCTACTAAAAAGGAAGGAAGGAAAATGTTAAGTTAAAATTCAAGACTAAATAGCAAAGATTAAAACAATTTACAAAAAACTACCCTATATTCACTATGAGTCATTTCCTTTGAGTTTTCTGATTACAAGGATGTTACTATAAACTGTGAGACAAAAGGCTCTAAAAGGTCCATTGGATAACCCAAAGTATTTCATCTTCTAAGTAACTTCTACACATGTGACTAATGGGGAGAGAGAGAGAGAGAGAACGTAAGTATGGATAAGATGATCAATATAAAAATGAATATAAAATCCAATACAAACTATAAGATGAGCACACAGAACTAAATGATGCCACATTATAGAAAATTCTGATTAGAACTCCTGGATAAGGAAAGTTTATAAAACAAAGGGAATCATTTTACAAAATGTTTCCTAAGTATATTTATGGATAGTAATGTACTTAATGTTCCCTGATAGGTGACCTAACATCTTGACAATAATAAAAATAGCTAATACATATTACAGTATAAAGCATTCCAAGCATTTTATATACATTAACTCATTTGTCCTCAAAAATTCTGAGGTAATTACTGATATTATCTTCAAGTGGGGAGCCTGAGATTTAAGGAGGTTATGTAACTTGCTCAAGGTCATAGTTTTTAAGTGGCAGAGCACTTAAGTTCTCTATATTGTCTTACATGCTCTTAACCATTAAACTTATATATAGCAAATCATTTATTTACTTACTTTAAGTTTTCCTTTGTTAAAAGCACAAACTGAGACCTGGTAAGCAGAATGTCCCATATCAATAAATATTACATTTCTTGGTTTCTCATCTAATGGGGGAAGATCCTGTTTATAAATTCCATATGCTAGCGCGACTGTGTAAGAACAAAGAAATCACGTTACTATCAGGATAGCAATCACGTGGAAAACAAAAGATAAGTCATTTTGATACTGCACTTTAATAGAGAGTAATATAAATTATTAGTTTCAAAGTAAATAACTTTTTATAATTTGGTTGTTTTTAATTTTTTCTCTATCCATCTATAACATAAATGATTCTTACAGCAAATGTAAGACATGTTTAACTTCTAGCAAAATATTGTACTACAAAAACCAAAGGTTACAAGAGCCAGTACATAATGAGTTTAAAAAAAGATAAATGCTTTATATTAATTGGAAAAAAAAACCCCCCAAAACTAGAACAGTATTTTTCTGACAGTGATTTTCAAATTGCAAAGTGCTCACCTGCAGTAGTTTCATTCATCAACCTCAAACAATTTAAACCTGCAACCTGGGCTGCAGCCATCACAGATCTTCTCTCAGCATCAGTGAAAAAGCTAGGAATCTGGTATTTTAAAACAGTAATTAAATATATTGGTTTGATGTACTATATTTTAAACATTTCATCAATTAAAAATGTAAAATAACTGCTCTAAAACTTATGTAGGGCTTGAGGCAAAGAATGGTGTTCTAATAAAATAAACAAGAAAAAAAATAGTTTTTTTACTTTTTGGCAATTTCTATACCATAAAGTGTTGACCTAAGTATGAACACAAATTTAAAGCAATTAATAAGATGGAATAATATTTCAGGATTTCCAAAATATGTTCATCTAAATCCTTCTTGTGTTGGGTCTGCTCTATGGAAAAAAAATGTTTGTTCATCTTTAATAATGAAAAATTGAAAGCCCAAGACTGTTAAAATGAGATTAAATATATCTTGTTATATTTGTATAATGGAATCTTATGTAGCTGTTAGAATCAGGCAGATCTGAATGGTCATGGAACAGTATCTATATTGCATCAGAAAAAAGGACATGTGTAGCATGATTTTTGTGTAGGTATATGTTACCCAGGAGAATATAGTACCCAAAGGTTTACAGTGGCTATTATCTCAAAGCGAGGCAGGAACTATATTGCAGAGGACTTATGAGGAGCATGTGCTTCTTTTAAAATCACCAAAAAAACATTAAATGTTTAATTAATGTTAATTAAAGACTTTATCAAAAGATAAACTGAGACTTAAACTTATAGTTAAGATTTACATACACTTCATTCTGTCAAACTAAGAAGCACTTTGATTTGTGTCTACAGACAGATTTCTGAGAAGAGAATTAAGTAGGAGCGCCTGGGTGGCTCAGTCGGTTAAGCATCTGACTTAGGCTCAGGTCATGATCTCAGGGTCCTGGGATAGAGCCCTGCTGAGGGCTCTCTGCTCAGCAGGGAGTCAGCTTCTTCCCCTGTCTCTCACCCTACTCGTGCCCCTCCCCCTGCATGTGAGCCTTGTGTGCTGCATACGTGTGTGCTCTCTCTCAATAAATAAAATCTTAAAAAAAAAAGCTAATTAAGTATATTCATGTACAAAATGACTTGGGGCTCTTCCAATTTAAGTAAGTTGTCTCCAATTTTATTGCTTTTTGAAGCTAGAATTTTTTTGTTTTTTAAAGATTTTATTTATTTGAGAGAGAGAGAGAGAGCATGAGGGGGGGGAGGGTCAGAGGGAGAAGCAGACTCCCTGCTGAGCAGGGAGCCTGATGCGGGGCTCAATCCCGGGACCCCAGGATCATGACCTAGCCGAAGACAGTCGCTCAACCAACTGAGCCACCCAGGTGCCCTGAAGCTAGAAATTTCATTTAACAGATTTTTTTTTTTTTTTTTTAAGATTTTATCCATTTGACAGAGAGAGACACAGCGAGAGAGGGAACACAAGTAGTGGGAGTAGGAGAGGGAGAAGCAGGCTTCCCGCGGAGCAGGGAGCCCGATGCGGGGCTCGATCCCAGGACCGAGACCATGACCCGAGCCGAAAGCAGATGCCTAACGACCGACCCACTCAGGCGCCCCATCATTTAACAGATATTAACAACAGGAAAAGAACTTGAATTTTGATAAACCTGTTTATCCTGATTTTGGTATTATCCTTCTGACAAAAATCTAAATTATAATATAGACTTTATTTAGTACTCATTGAGCACTTATGTACCAGGTACTTTTCTAACCACTTAGGGATATAATAGTGCATAAAACAGGGGCGCCTGGGTGGCTCAGACGGTTAAGCGTCTGCCTTCGGCTCAGGTCATGATCTCAGCATTCTGTGATCGAGCCCCACATCGGGCTCCCTGCTCCAGCAGGGAGTCTGCTTCTCCCACTCTCTCTGCTGTTCCCCCTGCTTGTGCTGTCAAAAATAAATAAAATCTTTAAAAAAAAAATAAAAATAAAAAATAAAACAGAGAAAATACTTCCCCTATATAGCTCACAATGGGTCTATCACACTAACTACACAAAGTAAATAATGGCCAAGAAGTCCATAATGTTCTCTTCTGACAATTTCTGATGTGAAATTACTATCAAGTATGGTTAATAGGGATGGATTTGAATTTAAGATGGATTTTAAAACCAAACCCACTTTGATGTATACTTTCAAGTGGCAGTACAATGGAACAGTTATAAGCAAAGGCTTGGGAATGAACTACGGGGTGTGATTTCTGGCTTACAACTTATTAGCTCTGTTGATTTTGAGCAAGTTATTTAACTTCTGTGTGTCTGTTTTTTAATCTATAAAACTGGAGTTAAAAATATCCTACCTTCATAGGGTGGTTCTGAGGATTAAATGAGTTAGTACATATCAAATGCCTATAACAGTACCCGGCCAAAGGTAAACTCTATTATTTGCTTTTTTTTTTTTTTTAAAGATTTTATTTATTTGACAGAGAGAGACACAGCAAGAGAGGGAACACAAGCAGAGGGAGAGGGAGAAGCAGGCTTCCCGCTGAGCAGGGAGCCCCATACAGGGCTCAATCCCAGGACCCTGGGATCATGACCTGAGCCGAAGGCAGATGCTTAACGACTGAGCCACCCAGGCGCCCCTATTATTTGCTATTATTAAATGGTCAGAATATAAAATATTAAAGCTCTATTACTTTTCTCTCATTTAAAAAATTCTAAATACCTATAAAAATCTAATTACTAAATTCCACTGGAGTTCATAATCTGATTCTATTTTTCTGAGGACATGAGACTCTCGAACTTAGGGAAGTTTAATAGTATTAGAAATATACTCACATTTAAGTGGACAACATGTAACTTCAAAAAGTTATCAGTATATAATGGGATCTCAAGAGATAGAGGAAATGATGGAATGTTCTAAGAATCCTTAAAGACAGACTTTTTCTTTCTGAAAAATACTGCATGATCTCACTTATATGTGGAATCTACAAAAGTTGAATTCATAGAAGCAGAGAGTAGAGTAGTGGTTACCAGGGGCAAGGAGGTGGGGGAAATGGGGAGATACTGGCCAAAGATTACAAAGTTTCAGTTATGTAAGATGAATAAATTCTAGAAATCTAATGTATAGCATATGGTATCTGAAGTTAGTAATACTGTATTGGATATTGGAAATTTGCTAAGAAAGTAGATCTCAGGTGTTCTTGCCACCAAAAAAAAAAAAAGTACACGAGGAGATGCGTATGTTAGCTCAACTGCAGTAATCATTATCATTTCACTATGTATATCAAAGTGTCATGATGCACACCTTATACGTAAACAATTTTTACTTTAAAGGAGGAGGCACAATGGGTGGGCGGTGCCTGGGTGGCTCAGTTGGTTAAATGACTCCCTTCGGCTCAGGTCATGATCCTGGAGTCCTGGGATCGAGTCCCGCATCGGGCTCCTGGCTCAGCGGGTAGCCTGCTTCTCCCTCTGACCCTCTCCCCTCTCATGCTGTTTCTTACTCTCTCTCTCAAATAAATAAAATCTTAAAAAAAAAAAAAAATAGGCACAATGGGATTCTGGGAGGGTGATAAATATGTAATATTGATAATGATTGATAGTTGTGTGTAAGCATGTCAAAATTTCTGAAAGTATAACATGTTAAATATATCCAATTTTTCATTTTAAAAAAGATTTTTTTCTGATACAGAATATATGAATATACATAATCTCAAATTCCCAAATGGGAATTTTCAACTTTGCCATAAAATGTTAAGGTCCCTATAAGTGGGAAGTTAAGGGCAACCAGGAAAGATTCTTAGATAACTGGAACGTATAGTAGTCACTAATCATATACATTGGTTTTTTAAGATTCATGGATTATCACAACTGACTTTATGGGAAACTACCTTAATCCTAAACTTTACCAAATAAGGTGGGTTTTTAAAAATAAATAAATAAATAAATAAAAATGGATTTAGATTATTTACTAAATTAGATCAGAAAGAATAAAGAGAAGAAAAATATTTCAATAGAATATTAATATACTGGAAGGTGTGATTTAAAAGTACTGAAGTAAAACTTACTGAAATCACACAGTCGGCCACTGGTTTCTTCAAAGCATTTTCTGAAGTCTCTTTAAGTTTAGCCAACAGCATTCCAGTTACTTGCTCAATTGCAAAAGGTCTCTCTTCTTCTAGGTACCGCACCTAAAACCAAAAGTTGAGATATTTATTAAGAGTCATTTATTCATCCAATATGTATTTTGTGAGGATCTACTCTATACATGATAGACAGACAACAGTGAAAAAGACAAGTTTTTGCTCGAGAAGTTATATTCTGAAAAGATTATTCTAGTATTACAACCTCTCATTTCTAAAGTTCAAGTGCCTTACACATAGTAATATAACCAAATTGTTCTCAAAAATGTCTTCCTGCATTAGCTCTCTGCCTTTCACAATAGTAATTTTTTTTTTTTTTTTAAAGATTTTATTTATTTTTTGACAGAGAGAGACACAGTGAGAGAGGGAACACAAGCAAGGGGAGTGGGAGAGGGAGAAGCAGGCTTCCCGCGGAGCAAGGAGTCCGATGCGGGGCTCAATCCCAGGACCCTGGGATCACGACCTGAGCTGAAGGCAGACGCTTAACGACTGAGCCACCCAGGCACAATAATTTTTTAAAAAGATTTTTATTTAAGAAAGAGAGAGAGTGCACGCGTGCACATGAACGGGGGGAAGAGGGGGTGGAGAGGGGCAGAAGCAGGCTCCCCACTGAGCAGGAAGGCCGATGGGGGCTCGATCCTAGGACCCTGAGATCATGACCTGAGTTGAAGGCAGATGCTTAACTGACTGAGCCACCCGGGTGCCTCTCACAAAAGCAATTTTTATCATTCACTTTCCAGGCACATAATGAAGGAGAAAAAGATCAAATAATCTTTCTTTTGAAAGTTAGAACTCTTCTGGGTTTAAAATGAAAGCTTTAGTCATACAGTTCTAGGAAAAGGAAATGCGAACATCAGGAAAGAAAATTTCTTATTAAAAAAAAAAGAGGTATAGGGCGCCTGGGTAGCTCAGGTGTTAAGCGTCTGCCTTCGGCTCAGGTCATGATCCCAGGGACCTGGGATTGAACCCCACGTCGGGCTCCCTGCTCAGCGGAAGCCTGCTTCTCCCTCTCCCACTCCCCCTGCTTGTGTTCCCTCTCTGGCTGTCTCTATCAAATAAATAAATAAAATCTTTAAAAAAAAAAAAAAAAAGAGGTATAGTATGTATTATTCCAAGGTTTCTGGGAATAATCATAAATTAAATATTAGAGATGTATATATGAAATTTCAAAATTATGTTTTTTAGACCAAATAACAACCTCATCTTATACACAGGTTTAAGAGTAGGTTGCATTTAAGCACACAAAAGGAAACTTTACAATGCTTCTTGACAAAGGAATACTGGAAGATGTGTGCTTTAAGTAATCAAACCCTATTATAATAACCAATAAATTTACGAGCAATACAAAGTTACCTTGGAACCCATATAATAATTACATTTAATTTACTGAAGAAAAAGTTATGTCTTACTTCTGTGTCCTCAGTGAACATAATTTTGTTCTCTAACACTAAACTTTGGAAGAGCTTCTCTCAAGCAGCACAACATACGTGCATGTAAGTGTATATATGTATATTTATGTGGCCATGTTCATCCGGGTGAAGTACATATCAGTACTTCACTCCAGTTTATGGCTAAATAGTATTCCATTGTATAGGTACCACATTTCATTTACCCACTTAACAGCTAATGAACACTTGGACTGTTCCTACTTTTTGGCTATTATGAACAATGTTACTACGAACAATCATGTACAAGTTTTTGTGTACACATATCATTCAATTCTCTGGTGTATATAAATAAGAGTGAATCTGCTGGGTCAAAAGGTAACTATGTTTCGAGGTATTCTGTTAGTTTCTGAAAAATCAACAAACATATTTTTGTTAACTAATCTACAACTTATTGTCTCAGGATGTAGAATTAAAAATCAAGAATCAATCTCTTACTTGGAAGTAGAGTTTGCTTTAATATAGCAATTAATATACTTATGGGGTCTATTTTTCTAAATCACTTATGGCTCTGCCTTTATTGCTTGAAAACTGTTCACCTCTAAAAGTTCTTCAAATAATTTTTCCTTGACAATAAAAGTATTGTTTGGATTTAAAAAATTATCTAATTAGAATTTTTTTACACTCACTAAAGCTTACTAAAAACTGAATCTTGGTACACATGTACTGCGTCCAGAGGAAAAAAGTTAAATTACAAACAGGCAATATTATATTTGGTTTCTTGAATTTAAATATGTTTGTACTCTGAGAAGCTTACCTTAACTCCTGCACTTCCATTAGGCATCTTCTGCAGTTCATAAGGAAGCCTGATCCTTTCGGTTTGCACAATGGGATCATCAAATGATCGCCCGTGAAGCTTTTTGAAGCCATGAATTGTATTTCTTACATTCGTGACTATCTGTTGGCAGTAAACACTTTTATTTATCAATATTTAATGAATGCAAAATAAACACTATGTTAATACTTAATACCACCAAGTCTCTTTATCCTACACATTTAAATTTAGAATTAGACACAATCATTTGTCTGGCTTCCAGCTGACAGTAAAATTATACAGTAAGAATGTATGCATCATATCTATTGCCCCCCAAATTCTCTTCCTATCCTAAGAATGTAGACTCAAAATTAATGTTTTCAAAAAAGAAAGAAAAATGTAAAACTTTTCAAGTAATACAGTGAAAATCTATCTATAACTTATTTCTCTGTTTTTCCTCAACCTTTTGCTTTAGTGAATTAGGTTTAAGTTCTCTTCCTTCCACATTCATTACTGTGTTTTTACTGAAACACTTTTCCATATTGCGCCCCCCTTTTTTTCCTCTTAATATCTAGTTCTTTGGGAAACGTCTCATGCAGCAAGAATGCAATTCCTCACTGTAGAGAAGTGCTCCTAGGCTAGTAAATTTAAACTCCTTTTGTATAGCATGATGCAAAAATTAAAGTGTCTTAATTTGCAAATGGCTTGTATTTTAGCAAAGTAATTTTTTCTTTAACTAGAACATGTAGTTCACACTATAAAATAATACTGAGATCCAGTTGCTGCCCTCTTAGTTAAAGCCAAATAGATCTTGCTCTTCAATTACGAGATGAAAGCTACTGGGATGCTGAATTACCACAGTGGTCTCTTTAAGAGGAGTAATTTTAGTTTGCTTTCTTCAGAGACTCTGTTATCTATGATATGCTTAGAAGATCACACAGAATATGAGATGTAAACTTTAGTGAAGAAGTCATTTTGGCACAAACACATTTGTTTATGTACAATATGAAAGTGTAGGAGAAGATAAACATTTTCATATATAGGCCAATTAGAAGACAACCTTGATAAAGTCTTAAGCAAAAACTCCTAGATAAATGAGTCAATTATCCTTATAAAGTCAGGAGGGAAAAAAGCCCCATTAAACAAAGTTATTTTATGAGGAAAAGAAGACTCAGGTACACATTAAAATGTAAGAAGTAATTGTTAAGGGCTTTTGGTTCAGGGAAATAAAGTCTGAGGAAAATGAACTTCTAACAAAGAATGTTAAAAGTAAACATTCTACTTATAAGCACTTCAGAAGCCTAGAAATATGAATACTTAAACAGATTCCATGTAAAATAGCTACATTGGGTTACTGTGGAAATTAGTTCTTCCATCTTTCCCACCTTCTTTTACAAAGACATTGCTTACTTGTTGAAGTGTATATTCTAGATAGGATACCTCTTAGAAAAGTGACCATACAGGAGAAAAAGTGGTGTCATATGGTAGCAACACCCTAACTTCAAAACTAAAAAGACTTTTTAAAAAAATAAAAGAAATATTTTGCAACCCCCAAAGCAAAATATATCTATTAAAATACAAAGATACTCGGGTCTGTCAAATTTCCCTCCTTCTCTTTTCTCACTCTTAACTATGTAAAGTGGGAGCTTAGTTACCAAGATTCCATTAAATTCCTCCTGTAAGTCAAAACATCTACATTAACAATTTACCTGGCTCTTAGCTGCATTTCCAATGGCTCGAGTTCTTGATCCCAAAGATATACAGGCCCTAAACAAGCGAAAAACACAAAGTTTGTTCCCATGGTATGTTTAAATTGATATGCCATCATTCTGCCTCTCCTTATGAAAAAAATGAGTTAAATGGATTAACATAATCAGGTATATTCTAAAAATAGGTTAATGGACATCAGAACTTTCCATATTTTGGTTTCATAAGTAACGGAATAGTGGTCAGAATGTTAGAATTCTTAGAATAAATGCTGCTAATAGCTGGCAATGCTCTGTTGGCCCCCAAAATTGTTCTTCAAATTCTATTGGTCTATGACCTCCTAAAAAAACTGTGTTCAGTAAGGCCAGGTTGCATGGATCTAAATCCAGGTTCTGTAATCTTGTAGAAATTACTTAACCATTATTTGTCTCAGTTTCCCATCTGGAAGATAGTGCTGATAATAATACCTACTCACAGGTTTGTGTGAGGATTAAATGAGTGAATATGGGTAAATGCTTTGAACACTATGATTGCTCTTTTTTTTAATTTCTGCATTTAGATGTAATTCTGCTTATAAAAGCAAGTGTGGAGCAACATTTTCATCAAAATATCATTTCATGTTATAATTTAAGGAAGTGTTTCCATGATTTTAGTTGTAACTACAGGTACCATTCATATCAACCACTAACTATGAGCACTGTGTGTATACTAGCTACAATCACTGTTGTTGGAGAATTTATAGTCTACAGAAAAAAATCAACATACAGGACTATGACCATACGGACTATGAGTACTAGTGAAAAAGAATAATCACTTCTATATAAGGCTTAGGAAAAGCAAGCGGAAGAGGTGATTTCTGAATTAAGATCTGAAAGAAGAGAAAAAATTTTAATACACATCTGTTTTGTTCAAAAGGACATTCCCAGTATGTAGGGATATATCTATTCTCAATATGATAACCATAGTGATCCTCTTCAAGACTAAGGTCATGAAACTCCCCCTCCAATGGTGTCTTGTCTCACAAAGCAAAAGCTTAAGTCTCCCCAACAGCCAATAAAACCCTTCGTGGTCTGGTCCTTGGCTGCTCTACCCCGTAACTTCAATCTAGGCACACTGGTCTCCTTGCTATTTCTAGAATAATGCAAGCACACTTCTTACTCAGGGCCTTTGTACATGCTATTCTCTATCTCTAGAACACTACTAAATATATCCATCCACATGGCTTACACACCTCTCTCATTTTTTTTTCATGTCTCTGCTCAAATGTCAGTTTATCATCAACACCTTTTCTATCTTATATAAACATTTTCTGCTCCTTCCCAACATATACATCTCCTACTGTTTACCTAATTTCATTCTCCTGCATAATGTATCACCATCTGATACAATTTATTTACTGACTATATCTCCACACCAGGGCATGAACTCCATGAGGGCAGATAACGTGTGCTCCATTCCCTTGATCTGCACTACCCAATCTGGTAGCCACTAGCCACACGTGGCTAATAAAATTTAGCCAAAATAAAAAATTCAGTTCCTCAGAATTATTCACATTTTAAGTGCTCAACAGCCAACTTTCAAGGGCTTAACAGCCGTATGTGGCCAGTGAGTATACAGAGAACAGAATATACACAGAACAGGGGCGCCTAGGTGGCTCAGTCCCTGTTAAGTGTCTGCTTTCGGCTCAGGTCATGATCCCAGGGTCCTGGGATCGAGCCCACACTGGGCTCCCTGCTCAGCGGGAAGGCTGCTTCTCCCTTTCCCACTCCCCCTGCTTGTGTTCCCTCTCTCGCTGCCTCTGTCAAATAAATAAATAAAATTTAAAAAATATATATATACACACACAGAACAGAAGAGATAATACATAGAACAGAAGAGATATACAGAATAGAAAGTTCTACTGGACAGTACTGGCCTAGATCATTATCTGGTAATATAGTAAAGGTACTTATTGAATGAATAGAAAGATGGCTCCTAAGGGTAATGCTTATTTGGAGAGTAGGAAGAATACAACTTGGCTAATTTCATTTGACATTTTGATAGTATTGGGGTCAGATTATACAGGGCCTCAAATGACAGGTTATAAATTTAACATTTATTTCAGTAGGTAAAGGGAACTCATTAAAGGCTTTTGGATAAAGAAGAGAACATTTCATGCTTATATAGAAGATGAATTGAAGAGGAAAGATCCCAGAACAATGCCCCCCCCCCTTTTTTAGTAGGCTCCATACCCAACGTGGAGCCCAACATGGGGTCTGAACTCAAAACCTGAAGATCAAGACCTGAGCTGAGATCAAGAGTCTGACGCTTAACTGACTGAGCCAACCCAGGTGCCTCCCCCAGCCCTCCCCCGCTGTCCCCAGAACAGTGCTTTTTAAGGGTTGAACAAGACACTTTTATACTGGGGGCCACAGCATTTTCAGGAAGGGCAAGCAGTTAAATTCATTTAGTTAACAGATTTTGGTTGAGTAATTTATGTCTGGCACTCTGTTAGTTACTAGAGATACAGTGAGGGGAAAAAGACATGGTTTTGGCTCTCTTGGAACTTACAGTGCTCACACACCTGAAAGTAAACTAGGTGCTACAATAGAGGGTATACCTGATGCTAGATGAGTAGATAACAGAATTGACCTAGAGGAGGAGGATCCGGAAAGGCTCACCCGAGGAAGTGATGAGATTTTACGGAAGAGTAAATGATGATGGGGGTGGAATTAAAGGAGATTTGGCAGAGATCATTTTGACCAGTGAGAACTGATGGGAGGAAGGCTAGAAGTTTTCAGTAATCTATACCAGGATGATGGCAGCTGAGAGGGGGAGAAGGAATTAAGAGATATTTAGGAGGTAAGACTCAAAGGACTTAGTGACAGACTAGATCTTCACTGTCTAATATGGTAGCCACCAGCCATATGTGATGATCAAGCACATGAAATATGGCTAGTATGAATTGAGATGTATTCATTTTAAGTGTGAAACATACTCCGGACTTTGAAAATTTAATATTTAAAAAGGAATATAAAATATCTCACTGATTTTAAAATATGGAAATAAGATTTTGGATATGTTGAGTTAAATCAAATACATAAAATTAATTTCACCTGTTTCTTATCTTTTTGGTGTAACTACTAGAACATTTATGCATGTTGCTAACATATTTTTACTGAAGAGGGCTGGAATAGATAAGAGGAAGAGGCAAGTATCACGACTAATGTCTAGGTTTCCCATTTGCATAAGAGGGTAGAGTGGTGTCATTTAATGAGACAGAAAACACTGTAAGAGGGACAGGTTTGAGGATGGACCATCGCAGTGCTAATGTGGACATGCTGAGACTGAGGTATGTTTGAGACATCCAAGCAGATGATCTCTTCCAAGTAACTCCTTGATTCAACATAGTCCCTGCCAGAGTAGAGTATTTGCATACCTAATATGGTTATCTATGTGGATGGTTGGCATTCCATCCTAAAGTTCATCAGAGAAAATATGGATTTGCCACCTCTTAGTCTACTTTATTATAATCTGTCCTTTTCTCAACTCCATTATTTGGACACACATAAGAATACTTTTAATTTTTTAATACTAGGCTACCATCACTTCAGTGCATAGATAATCTTATTCTTAGGTTGATTCTCTAGAAGTTCACTTCTCTTAGAACACAGGAGCCAAATAATATTGATTCAAGTATCAATTATTAAGTACTAGATTCTTTGAAACGTGCTGCACACATGTATCACTTCACAGAGAAAGCTGAACAGTTATCATTACTAGATATTCTCTAAAGTTAAAAGTAGACAACTTTTAAAGTTTAAACAATTTAGTGTTATAGCTTGGAAATACCCAGTTTCAATACACAGAAAACCTTCCTCACACAACTAAAAAAGTGCTTCAAACTCCTTCCTTTAATTTTCTTTCAAAAAGATTCTGGAATACAACCATTAAATGAATACTTGCTAAGTATTTTCAGAAAAATCAAAATACCTAGCATCTCTCAAAACTTTTACCTGACTTTACTAACACCAAGGGAAATAAACACATTATACCATACTTTAGAGGCTGACACAAAAGTTTTTATAGAAAGGATATTCAGTTTACCCAAATGTATACTGCATAATCCATTGATATTATACTTTCTATACTTTATTTCAACTGCTCTTTAGAAATTCCATCTTATACCTAAAAACAAACAAAACAAAGGGTTTACAATGCAGCTTAAATCTATAATTTCCAATCTGATATTGCCACCACAGTGGTAATCCCAGATTCTCAGAGAATGCCACAAAATTCTAAACAAACAAAACTTCTAAATGTCCTATGTCACTTTTGGTAGAGGAGGGGCATGAAAATCAAATGTCAGCTGTTAATTTAAGAAAGCTGTATTTTGGGGCATCTGTGTGGCTCAGTCTGTTAAGCATCCTATTCTTGATTTTGGCTCAGGTCGTAATCTCAGGGTTGTGAGATCAAGCACCATGTTGGGCTCCACCATCAGTGGACTGTCTGCTTGAGATTCTCTCTCTCCCTCTACCTCTGACCGCCCCCCCCATATGCACGCTATCT